CAGTCAGTAAAAAAAGAAAGAAAAAGAAAGACACAACTTACAAGCATAGATAAAATAAACAGTAGTATTCAGGTACAGAAATGTAACAGTTAAGTGTAAAATAACACTGCATAGTGTTCACTGTATTAATTAAATTTAGATTAATCTTTGTTATAGCCGTTTTGTTGTTTTGTTAACATTAGTGACATTCAGCAGCACATATTTATAGGCTGCTGTCCCTTTAAATCTGACTGCACGGATCCAGTATAATGATACACATCCGATTTCTTTCTCAGCTGTTTACATTCATTTAAAACATAACCAACTGCGTTAGAGATGGTGTGCGAGCTGCGGGTTGTGCGCGCGCTTCAGGTGTGAGTCAGACAGCAAGACGAGACGGCAAAGAGTTGTTTTCTGCAACTTATTGCACTTAACTCTTTTTAACGTCAAGCAATTCTCTGCTATATGCGTCGAACTAAAACTTTGACCTTTTGCAATATTTCGATAATTTCGATATATCGTGTAGCCCTATTTCCTACTGTAAATATATCAAAACTTAATTTTTGATTAGTAATATGCATTGTTAAAAACTTGGACAACTTTAAAGGAGATTTTTTTTGCACCCTCAGATTCCAGATTTTCAAATAGTTGTATCTCGGCCAAATATTCTCCTATCTTAAAACCATACATCAATGGAAAGCTTATTTATTCAGATGATGTATAAATCTCAATTTCAAAAAAATGACCTTTATGACTGGTTTTGTGGTCCAGGGTCACATTTGGTCAATAGCATCATCTATAAAAAATAAAGGTTCTTTATTGGAATTTACAGTTCCATGAAGAACCTTTAACATCAGTGGAACTTTCCATTCTGCAAAAGGTTCTTTATAGATTATTGAAATCTTTATACTAAGAAAAAAATGGTTCTTTTAAGAACTGCTGACTGAGTGGCTCTTTCAGGAGACAAAAATGGTTCTTCTTTGGCATCACTGCAAAAACCCCTTTTGGAACTTTATAGAGTGTATAAACATTTAATAGGACAGAGCTGAAGTGTGTGTGTGTGTTGAATGTGGACTAGATGAGGTAAGGCAGGTGTGGCGGTTTGTCTGGTTGTGATTGTTGGCCCTGCGGCTAGAAAGTGTGGGAAAGAGAGCTGAAGGAATGGCAGCGCTCCTCTATGCCCAGTCACATTCACTTCATACCACAACACTGTTAAGTCATTCCTACTATGCAGTTTGTTTGCAGTTCCCAATCGTATATGTATTTTTTATAGCCTACTAAATGAAAAGTATGAGTTTTCTTTCATCTCATTGGTTTAATTGTAGCACTTTGGTTTGAATGCTTGTTTCCATGTCTCACAGGTGTTATGCAGTTAATAAAAAAGCTGGTCCACACCAGTTATACTTTTTTTTTTTTCTGTGAAACACAAAAAGAGAAATGTCCAAGGTTTTATTTTCCATATAGCATAAGTAAATGGTGAGAATGACTGTCAAAGAGGATTTTCTGTCAAGTTAAAATTTGCCTGTTCTGAATATCATGTCACCAGGAGACTCGTGATCAAGAATCAAATCAAGAATGTCATGATTTTATATGGATGACTTTTATAATACGTTTGTAGTGTTTTTGTTTTTAATCACCATCCACTTTTATTCTTCACACTTTCATTCTTCAAAGCGTCATTTGTGTTCTACTGAAAAGGTTTGTAATAACATTAGAATAAAGCCTGGTTCACATCAAGAATGATAGCTATGAATATAACTATTAGTTTCCAAACCCAACACATCATAATGTACTGTTTATAATATGCGCACGCTGAATATTATATGTATGATGCTTCAGATGCTCAAGTTCTTTGAAGCAGGATGAATTGATAGGCTATCAATGTTTTTATTGTTCATAAGCCTAAAAAAAAGTGATTACAAGCGAGTAAAAAGAAGACTCTTTTTGCGCGTGTGGATCATAGTTTCATATAGAAAGTAATTACAATGAAATAATTTCCTTTGTTATCATTATAGTGGTGTGGACTTTACTATTCCTTTAAATTTAGAATAATTTTTAAAACTATAGACCTGATGTAGCTCTGCCCCTTTTCAGCATTGCGCTCATTGTCTTCTGTCTTCCGTTTTTATTTCCACAGCGTGATGGTAAGGTTGTGTGAATTTATGAACCACTCGTTTTAAAATCTTCCCGGTCTACTCTGACAGTTATGACATTCGCTTCGAACATTACAATGTTTAAGATAATTTTCCGTTAACTCTACAATATGTAAATCTACTTCACCAGCTTATTACTCTTCAACAGTGATTCTAAAGATGGCTGCGCACTTGTTTCTCCAACACTAAAGATATAGACCTTATGCATCATATTTATCATCCTTGGTGTGGATGGACGTTAAATAATGACAGAAATGTCATTTTGGGTGAGCAATCCCTTTAACAGATAACACCAGGGTGTATTTCTTTCTTTTAACTGTAATTCCTGTGTTCTCAATATCACTTTCTATGTTTGCCTTTTATAAAATCCTGTTAACAAAAGCCAAGTAAAAATTCCAATCTTTTTTCAATAGGTGAATTAATTTTAATGATAGTTTATAAAACTTTAAACACAAGCTGACTGTGAGCTACAAGGTTGTAACCAGTGATATATTCTATATCATTAAAGGTTTAAATATTCATTTTAAATATTTAAAAAAATTATATGTAAAAGCATACATATAAAAATATAATATAAATTACAACTGAAACATTTACACATTTATAAAAATGATATATAATTTCAGTATGTGTAAAAGTTAAGTGTTTATAGTAAAATACATTACTTAGCCTACATGACATCTTAGCCTACAGCCTATATTTTGCATAACTAATGGAGTTATTATAAATATTTTATATTATATTTAAGTATTTTATATGTACGATGTTTTCATTATTTAAATATTTAAAACACTTTAATATATTTAAATTTATGTAAATTTGAATGGAAGTAAAAAATCATTTTTTTTCAGTAGGTGAATTGATTTTAACAATGATTTATAAACCTTTAAACACAGACTGACTAGTAGCTGGTGATATATTCAAAAGTTGAAACCCATCAGCCAGCATTATTAACCAATTTTTTTTTTAACCAATCATGTTTAACAGCAGTTATTCTGCAGAGAATCTCCACCAATCAACTCCGTTTCATGCTGTTGTGTAAATAGGATATATTTAAAAACTCTGAGCTTGAGTAGATCATATTTCTGAAAGTACCATTTTATAGAAGCACTTCCTTAAATTACAACACATCCACATTTGTAATAAGTTACACAGCTCAAACGGCACTGCATAACTGGAATGACTTGTTTATGAAAGACCGCGCGCACACAGACTCAATCCGGCAAAAATCCCGCCAAAAAGCTCTCAGCTGTGCGGATACACGGTGTATTGCAGAAATAGTTGAGGGAAAAACTGTTTTTCACAGCCTTGAGATTGAAGATATCACAGTTTGTTCTGTCTTTGTTTACCTGAACAGTTTTTCCTCACCGGCTATGTTTAGTTTTGTCAATATGTGGGTCAATATGCAGTAAAAGGCACTTGTGTGTGTGTGTGTGTGTGTGTGTGTGTAGCGTCCGTCTTAAATAACAGCTCTGCAGTCTCTTTTGTGCCCCTTCTTATTCTCCTCCTCTCTTTTAAAATAACATTTTATTTTTCACCCTGTTTCGCGCCAAAACCAGGGACAGAACAATGTGGACGTTGAACATTTCCCTTTAACCCCTACAGCGCTGTGTGTGAGTTTCTGATATGTGTGGCATTACTGTCTACTGTACGAGTCTTCATATGGGTGTGTTTGTTCAGCACTATCTCCTTCCTCAAGCCGTGTATGTTAGTGCCTGTGTGTTTCTAGATCAGGGCTGAATGTTTTCACTGGTTGCCTGGGTACAGCAGGGCCGTTGGCGCGGGAGACGGGGATGGGCGTGGCCAGAGCCGGTCTGCTGCACTCTAGCTGCAGTTTAGCGCACTCGCTTTCCCGCCATCAGATCCCGCCATTAGGGAGGGGCTTTGGCACAAAGACAGAGCGCAGAGAGGAGGATTTCCCGCCAAATGCCTCATATGTAAATTAGCCCGGGTGGGAGGGGCATTCAGCCATTTGCTGCACGGTTAACTCTTTCAGTGCTGGAACCAAGCCTATAATTCCTCAGCTCATAAAGATGACTTCTATAAGCACACCGTCTCGCCTTATGTTCCATGTTATGTAACTTATGAAACTCTAGCTCTCAAAGCATGTATGTACGTGTCTGTGAACTTCTAATATAAGTAACAAAGAACTTAATGTGAGATTAATGAATATACCCTGTCTGGAAATGTATTCTTATTTCTGGGCTTACATGTAAGGGTGTTATAATGGTCTTTATTGCACATTAGTGCAGGCAATTAGCATGCAGAGCTCTTAAGGTTTTGATCTGAATGATCTTTCCATTACTCTTAAATAGATTTCTGAAGTTAAGGTTGTGTGAATGTTTTGTGTTGGCCCTGAGAGAGACTGTCTTTGTTGTAGACTTCTCAAAGTTTTGCAGCGTTACCTCAGGGAGAGCCTCGTCTTTTATGTTTGCAGCATGAGTTCGTGCTTTGACTACAATGACTACAACACTACAATGAGATCTGAACAGTCACAGTTGCACAGGAATTTAAGGAACGTTTCACCCAAAACTGAACATTTTCAAGTAACTTACTTTTCATAGAATTCAAAAGGAGATTTTTTTTTTAAGAACCGGCAGACTGCTTTTTACAGACTGCTTTTTTCCATAAATGATGAATGTAATTTGTGAATATGACAATTCATGATTTAAAAAAAAAAAAACGTGTGTGTACTGTATTTGTGTGT